GATATTTATAGTTTGAACTCAAACAGGTGTAAACCGTAAAATAGCAAAACATTGTTTAAATCATTTCATTGTAAACTTCTCATTTTTTTCTGGTTTTTTTTTTTTGGAAGCATCGCTGATTGTCCAAAAGGGTAAACAAAAGTGCCAACAAATTGCTGAGCAAAAAGGCGAAATGAGGCTTCCAGGAAAATCAAAAATCGTTCTCATTTATAATGTGTGTAGTTCATCAAAATTTTTTGGCACGCGGCCCCTTGCGGTGGCATTGTTCTGGTGTTGAGATATCGAGCCGCAGATACCGATACTCTCGGATGTACCCGGAGATACACAAGAAACGGATCGCAGGCTTAATTTGAATTATTTGGCCGTAAATAAAGCACAATGGGAGCCAGGGTATCATGCACCCTCCATCATAACCGTGCCCCTCGGAATGGGATTTTTATATCGTTGTTGTTCGTCTTTGAATTGGACTCCCCGAAACTGACAGAGCCCAGAAATATTTATTATCATAAGAAACGGTAGTGGAGAAGCATCATCTGCAGCTTCAGTAACATCACTGAAAAGGAAAACGATTTCTCAATGTCTTTTATATCGCATAGTCCAGTCCGGAGAGGCTCCGGTATAGTATTGCCGGTTCTCAACCTTTTGTGCTGTAGCCAAAAATAAAAGAACTAAAAGGCAAGAGCTTCTAGCCAAAGTTAGGACTGGGAAGTACCTTATGAAATACTTATAAATCAAATAAAAATTGCTAACAGTTTCTTTTAATTGAAAGCCAAAAATAGTCATTGTCCTTGCTCCCCTAAAAGTATGCTATATATTTTCTTTTGAGCAAATTCGGTGTTAATTTCTTAAATATCTACAGTTTAAAAGTCTGAGAAGGTCCAACTTATATTCCTTTTAAATACCTTTATATCCAGGGTATCAGCCAAGACAAAAGACAAAGACGCGCTCTTGGAATGGATCGAGAAACTTGTTTAGCACGCGTTACAGCGGCTGCCTGTTTTCTGAGCGGGGGCTTTCAAACTGTTTGTGGTCGGTCACTCAGCTTCCTCGTCTTCTTCTTCTTGCCATCCCCCTCCACCCACCTAAAAAAATACTCCATCTCCGCCCTGAAGCAGCCGCGCCCACTTTGTTTCCATATATACTCCATATTTTTAAGGTTTTGCACAACTATATTTTAAGCCACATGGTCGCATGTTACAACTTTACAATATTTTAATAATTGTAAGGTTTTTAGTCAAATTGATGTAGTTTATTTCGATTTTAATATTTTATTGAGCTTTAGGATTAAGATTTATTCCTTAAAGAAATAGGTATTTTCTTCTGAATCACTTAAATCTATCTCTGCAACAAAGTACATTTTCTTGGCTTAATCCGTTTGGCTAAACCTTGATTACTCCGAACCAAGTCCCTCAAAAAAAAGAATATATGTACATATATGTACGATATTACCAAAAAAAAGAATATCAGAAAGCCCCTTCTTTGGAGCATCACTGCGTGGGCTCATTGTGGAATTTCTACACTCATTCTTGATTGTTTCGTTTCGTTTTACGCTCTGGGCCAAAAAGTGATGGCATATGGCAGGCAAAGGGTCTGCATTCCAGTTGAATTGGTTTTGGCTCGAGAGCCGGGAGCTCCACCGTCGAAAATAAAATAAGAAAAAATATAAAATTTCTTTCGACCTGGCCAAGCCCGAACTCAAAATCGAAAAAAAACGAAGACTCGGATGGCAAAGAAGCAGCAGCAGCAGATAATAAATTTGAATTTCAATAAATTATTTTGTTGCTACAAGACAGCTCCGAGAAGAAGCAGAGACCCAGAGGAGGCAACGGATGAGTTCGGTTTGGGCCAAGTCAGTTGGCTCTTTTCCACTTCATTGTGCTCCATTCCGTTCCCTTCTGAATGGTCAAAAGCCCGATCTTTGTTGTTTTTTTCCCCCCATCTCTGGTGACTTGTCTTGCGTGGATTTCATTCAACAAAATATTTCTGTTTAGCAATTTCTTTTTGGCTCTGTCGTTTTTTGTATATCTTACCTATATTTCGTTTCTGGCCATTATTGGCCAAGGCTGTCAATTGATTGAGGGCTAAGGGGTGTGTGTACGTACCGAGATCTGTCATAGTTATGGTCTGATGAAGTGATCAGGCCTTGACATTGATCAAATGCCAAGAGCTGACATCTGCCAGTGGGCGTACAAAACACAATTTTTCGTCTTCTCAAGATTTCAAAAAAAATGTTGAAAAAAATCCATAAAGATATTTAAAAAAACTGTATTCAACACCAAGATTATATAGATTTCTTATTATATTATGTAATTATATAGATAAGTTAGTTAGATATCTTTCGATCTTCTTCACCTTAGTTACTGAATTTACTAAAATTTCCGATTTAATGCGATGATCCTCAATCAGCCAAAATACCCTCTATATAACCATTTGATGAGGCTTGGGTATAAAAATTTCCGGCTAGACACAGCTTGACATCCGTTTAGTGGGTATATATCCCATATATAATGCCCACAAGTGTCAGAGACACCTGAGGAGAGATGGCCACGGTTCGGACGGTGTTTTTGGACGGTTTCTGGCCATAATCCGGCAGCTGTATTAATTCATGGAAATTCCGTCAAAAGAAATTTTGAGTTCACTCCCGGACCGGGCTAGCTCCATCTCTATTACTCTCTCGGACACATGGCAACCAGTTTTAAGTTTCTTCTTCTATTTTTCTACTATTTTATTTGTATTTTTTTGGCAACGGCGTCAAGTCAACTGACAAAGCTAACAAACAACCTTCGTCATTAGCCAAACTATGGCATGTCAACGAAAATTAGCATTTTTTTACAGCGGGAGGCCGGCAGCAACAACTATGTCTATGAGTACAACTACACTTGGGGAAAGAGTATCTGATTTTGGGATGGTTTTTTGTGGGCTTTGAGATTGTTTCAAATGATTTTTATCAGTGTACGAGGGGGCAGAGAGAACCCGCTTTACACTTGGAGCTAAAAGCTACGAAGCGTCGTCAGATGCGTAGGTAAAAAGCCGACTTTAGTCCGCTTGATGAACTATATCCACTTTATACACACATCTCGGATATTGTTGTTGTTGCTGTCGCTGTTGCTGCCTCAGTTGGCGTCTCTGCCACAGGCGGCCTACGCATCTTTTGCTGTTTCGTTTGAGCCGCCCACGCATCCGAGTTTGCTTAGAAATAAACGGCAAAGCAACCTACAAATTCAAATTAAAGTTGTATTCGCGCAGCTGCGCGTGTGTGAGTTGAAATCGGCTCTCCGTAGGCTTTATGGCTATATGGCAGATATATAATACAGTTTAGAGCCAGCCCGCCCGAGTGTCTGCCACATTTACCGCCACTCAGCCGGTATCTCTATCTGTATCTGTATCTGTTGGTATCCATCCATCTAGCCTGGCTAAATGTATCTGAATCTGTATCTCTGTAACGTTGACTGTTACTGTTGTTGTATCTGTATCTATGCGGCCATCGGTTAAACCTCTAAAGTGCCATAGATTATTATAACACACGCGCTATGCGATTGTGCTGCGGTTAGCCGCAAAACTCAAAACCGAAACAGACACTCCAATCCAAAGGCCCCACACGAGCTATATCCGCCGATTTGCCCCTGTCTCCTGCCCCCTTAAAATGCATTATGCATAACCAAAATAGGGAGGGGGAGGGGCAGGGCTGGGCCTGGGCAGAGGCTGGAGCTGCAACTCCTCCCCACCCATTGGGGAGGAATTAAAGAAAAAGGCTGTCAACGGAGCAACGGTAAAGAAAATGAATGAGAGGAAAGCCCACAACGGAAATGGCAAAGTAAAAATAAGTTATGGTAGGTGGATCTGGAAAAAATATCATGCGAGGGAGGGATTATCTAAAAACACACCTTAAATAATTCAAACAAATTCCAAAGCCTTTAACGATAATATTATGATTCTACTTATAGATCCCTTAAATCCTTCTCTTAGAATAAAAGTTAGAAGGGTATTTAAGATCAAAAGTAATTATAAAAAAATACTTACCTTTTTTTTCCACTCTATAATCAACCAAATTAGTGAATGGAATTGTAAAAGTGGTTTCAAGCTTTCAACAAAAAATGAAAAATATGAAAAAATCATAAATTGAAGCTGCCACGCCTTCTTTGGGACAAATATTTGCAAATGCGCAGGCGCAGCAGTGCGCAGTGGTTGTGTGTGCCGAAAGTGCTGCCAAAATGCAGTTTAATCACCTCCAGAAAGACAGCCCACATGGCACATGGCACAAGGAGGCGGCCCACACCAAAAATGCACATTAGAGAGCCCGTCCGTCGCATAAGAGTGGGTTAAACACGATGGGGTTAAGACCGCCATGAGAGGGGAAGGCGGGCGTATCAGGGTGGGGGCTGGAGGAGCCATCGATCAGCCGGCGAGCTGCAGATTTAATTACCAGACTCGGAGCCGGGGATTTTCACTCGCCTGGCAACAAGCCAGAGCGAAAATGAAAGCTTCAAAGAGTGGCCACAATTACAGAGAAAAAAAATTATAAAATATCTAAAAAAAAAAGTTAAGAAAATATACCACAAAAAAACCTACTTTCTCGGTCTGACGTTCATATAAAATCTTGAAATTATTTCTAAAATGGCAATAGTACTTTTTTTCAGTGTACTCCCAATTGGGGCTTCGACATCGACGTCGCTGTCGCCGTTGACGCCAACGCAGCGAGACGCGCGCCGCCAACGTTGAATGAAATTTCATTCACAAAAATTCACAAAAACGAAGCCAAAAAGGCAATGGACACAAGTCACGCATGCGCGGATCGGATCGGATCGAATCGGTCCGGAATGGCATGGAGTATGGTAGTATGGTAGTATGGTGTAGTGAATCCGATTCCGGGGAGTAAGAGAGTCGGCTTCCAGGGGGCTTACAGCGAAAATTACAGCGAAAAATATGCAGCCTGTCTGGGCGTCGTTTCTGTTGCCCAACCGGAAGTATTAAATTCCAATTATGGCGACAAGATATTCGCTGTCTCGAGATTGTTTGTCACGCTGTCTTTTCTTTCTTTTTTTATTGTTTATGAATTTGTTGAAAATCATAAAGGGCGGAGAAGTGTTGGAGATCTCCACTAACTGCCCACGACCTCTATCAGACGCCGGCGCAGTCTTTGACGCACATCATCGAACTCGGGCAGGGGCACTAGGTTGAATTCCTCGCCAGAATCCAGGCGGTGGTCGTACAGCTCCTCGCCATAGACATCATGCCAGTCTGAAAAAATAAAATTATATTTAATGTTGATATTTATTTTAAGGAAAGAGCTCACCTCTGCTGAAATTCTGGGCATGAAATCTAACCCAAAGGGTGTACCTATACAGATCAGTTCTTAGGCTATAGCCCATTATCTTGATATTTCGCAGCTTGGGTTTGTCGCTGTTTGGATGCTTTGTGGGCAGCATTCCCGGGCGGGGGTACTGGCTGAGGGCCACATGCTCATCACCTAAGAAGTCTTCAAAAGGTTAGAAGTTCCAACTTAGAACTGAAAACAAAACCAACTTACCCATTCCCAAGCCCATTATCTGGGGGTAGAGACTCTTTCCCTCGCCGCAGGTTAAGTCCTGGTTACTGTGACAGGACGGGAGTGGCGGAAGTCCAGCCAGGTCCACCAAAGTGGGAAACACATCCAATAGTTCGGTGACACCATGGTGATACTGTGGCTTAGTCACAGGAAACTGGGGGGTGCGAATGATCAAGGGAACCCTGAGAGCCACCTCAAAGTTACTGTACTTGGCCCATTCGGCGTGCTCCCCCAGAGACCAGCCATGATCCCCCAGCACCACCACCACAGTGTTATCCAAATCCAAGCCGGAGATCAACTTGCCAAAAAGATCGTCCACATAGGCCACCGAGGCGTAGTATCCTTGGCGTATCTGGGCAGCCTGGTGCCGGGAAATGGGTCCATAGGGAAAGGATATATTCGAGTGCTTAAAGTCGTCCCTGGCTCGGACATCTGTGTAGGGATTCCAGGCCACAGCCGGCATATTCGGAGGCTTGTGTCGGTCCTCCGTGTAGTTGTAAAACTTTGAGAGGGGAAACCTCGATAGGAATTGCTTGGGGAAGCGGAAGTTGATGTGTGGCTTGTGGAAACCCATCGCCATGAAGAAGGGTTCCCTGTGGTTGTGCTTTCGGGACTCCACAAAACGTAGCGCCTCCGCCACGGACTCTATATCCGGCAGTGTCTTGAACGGTTGGGTTTGCAGCTCCACTGGACAGATGAGGTTCTTGCGTAGGATACCTTCCCTATCCGGACATACGGGTGAGTTCATGAACTGCTCTGTGCGTGGCCTGAAAGCGGGCGCTGACCAACTCAAAGGGTAGTCATCCGTGTTGTTGGAGGAGAGTCCCGGATGGAAGACCTTGCCACAGCTGTAGGTGTAGTAGCCGTGCTCCTTGAAGTACTGCGGCAGGGTGGTGAAGTTTCCGGAAAAAGTCCGCCAGTAACTGTAGAAATCATAGAGGTGCAACGTATCCGGTCTTCTGCCGGTCAGGAGAGAATTCCTGCTGGGTGCACAAAGTGCTTGCTGGAAAGAATAAATTAAAGTTTTTATAATATTTTAAATCAAAAAGGTACCCCTAATCTCTACCTGACTATAGGCCCTCGTGAACACATGACTGCCCTGAGCAAAGGCGTCCAAGTACGGAGTACTGGCCAGGGAATCCCCATAGGCGCCGAGCACTGGTCGCAAATCATCAAAGATCACCAGTACCACATTTGGAGGTCTAGTCCGGTCTTGAGAAACTACCTCCAGAAGGCTGAAAGAGGAGAGCAGCAGCCACAGAAGAACCAAACGAATACAGGTCATATCCACGGCGATTGAGATTCGCGACTGTTGACTCGAAGATGCCGACAGAGACACGGCGGATGTACGGATGCCGGCATGTTAGCCTTGAGGTATATCTCTTTCTTGAAATTTCCACCAAGATTTGAATAAAATGTAAGATTTGGAAATACAAGAGAATCTAAATGAAGGAAAAGTAAGCTTTTTTGTGGGTAATTGAATACCTCATTACATTTTTGATGAGACCTTCCTGTAGGGTATCCTTGGGTCGCCTCCATCCTCAAAAGATCCACTCCACTTGTTTACTTGCCTCTCTGATAGAGCTCAAAAGGAACAAAATATGCCGCATCGGGGAAAGGCGAGCGGCGTAATTCAAAACCGCCCTCCATTATATTTCAATTGAATTTAACGGAAGCGCGGCTCGACGACAGTATCGCAGGCAGTGGGTGTCTCATCCATATACAACCGGGGAAATTCTCAAACATCGACGAATAGCTTTGATGAAGCAGTCATCCAGTAGTCATAAAACCTTCAAACAACTTTCCAGATGGGTGTGATGTGTCTAGTTTTTACATTTTTAGCTAAAAACAGTACTTTATTTTGAACTTGAAGTCACTTTGTCGCTGCCAAATGCCAATAAGCATCTTATCTTTAACAAATACATGCGTACGGGTCAATAAATTCCCTTTAACGGATATAGATTCGTCTGCGAATGGGACTATGTTTACTATGACTATAATATATGTGTATGTTTCTTAATCTGGAAAGACCCATGGTTCTTATTTACATATAGTGTGTGATATTGCAGAGCTAACGATTAACAATAATAAAATAACAATAAATAAAATAGTGGCGTTTTGTGATATCAAAAATATATATGTAGCTAAAGAAGTCACAGGCTCAGAGACGACCAAATCCAATAGCGCTAGGAGTAATGGATAGGCCTTTGCTTAGAAGACAGTGCCGCAGTTGCTGCAGCGCTTTTCCTTCATAGCCAGACAACACAGAATTCCAAGGGGGAAGAAAAAGATGGCGCAGCACAGACCGGCGGCTGAGTAGGTATCCTCTAGTAAGCCAATGCGGCAGGCCGGGCAACCTCCAATCACTATTATCTCTGTGGCTATTGGAGGAACAGGCGGTTGAATGACCACGCTGACCGGAGTCGTCTCAAAAGCCCCGTATGAGGGCGCGTGCATTGTGAGCGGTGGCGCAGTTGGTGCTCCGTGATGCACGCCGGATATCAACCCGGAATCTGTCAATACCAATACGGATTTCATTAAGGCTTTCAAGATAATGTTATTAAGGTTTCATACCATGTGTAGAGGAGGCACTCATGACTTCTTCGTAGCTCGGGGGAGCGTCCTCTTTGCGGGCATCGGCCATACTGGCTAGAAAGATGAAGCCTCACTCCAGTGACTCACGCCGGTTTGATTGTGTTTAATCGTACCTATACCTAGGTATTAATTGTGTTAACTCGAAAATGTGGTTTGTTTTTCTTTCTTTGTCGAGCTGCGTAAATCAACACTTTAGTTTAGTGTTTTCCAGCACTTTCACGTGGCACATTTCCAACACTGGGAGCGGGAATTTTTGATTTTAATTTTGGTAAAGTTCATTTAATGAAAACAATTAACTATCTTAGATGTATTTATTGCTTAAATTAAATTGCTTTCTTAATTGTTTATGTTACAAAAATATTTCCGCTTAATTTAATTTTTAGTTTTAAAAAACTGAACTTAAAAAAGAAAATACATATTTTATAAAAACCTATGGGCAAACTTATAATACCCATCTATCTGAGTCTGTGTTAGCGAGGATTTCTGCTTGGCCAGGACCTTCTTAAAGTCCTGAATCTCTATTTCTGTGGCCTCGAAATACCTCTGGAAGGCCTCGATAGCCGCCTCGTTGCAGAGATTGCACAGATCCGCCCCGGAATACCGCTGCGTTTGCAGGGAAATCTCTTCCAGATCAACATTTTCATGAAAAGGCATTCGCTGGGCATGGAGCTGTAGCAATGCCAGTCGGGATTCCGTGTCAGGAGCTGGCACATGGATAAGTTTATCAAATCGACCTGGACGCATCAGCGCATCGTCGATCATATCCGGACGATTAGTGGCAGCTACGACGAGTATATGTTGCTGACTGCCCCCAGCCACGATGCCATCCATTTCGGTGAGAAGCGTCGACAGAATCCTCAGCTGGACTTGACCACCACCTCGCCCACTGGCAACAGTTCTCTTGCCTACAAGGGAATCTGTAAATGTTTTAGGAATTTAGAAAATAATCCATTTATCACCAAGAGTTCGAAGAAAAACCTACCAATCTCGTCCAGAAAAATCAGGCAAGGTGCGTTCTTCCGAGCCGTGTCGAAAATCCTAGTAATAAATCTTTCCGCACAGCCAACATAGGGCGAGTATACCTCTGCGGCCGATGTGGCAATGAAGGTCATGCTGGCCTCCTTGGCCAGGCACTTGGCAACCGTGGTCTTGGCACAGCCGGGAGGTCCATAAAGCAGGACTCCTTTGGGCAGAGACAATCCAAAGCGAGCAAAGGATGCACTTTGTTGCAGTCCCGCCAAGACCGACACTTGCAGGGTTCGCTTTAGTGATTCCATTCCTCCAATAATCTCAAAACCGTCCGCCATTTTCGATACTCGAACGTCCGTAGTACGCGAGGCACTAGGTTGAGTGCTAAGTAGTAATTCCCGAAAAATGCGCTCCACATCGGAGCCTTCTTCGGTCAGACATTTCTGTAGCCCACGCCGCAAGAGAAGTATCAAATCTGCCATTACATAGCCCTGCGTATTCCGAGCTATGTGCTCTAGTAGACCCTCCGAAAAAGACAGCTTCTGCTCCTGGGCGAGATCCCTCACAAGAAACTTGCGCTGCTCCTCGTTTGGCATATTGATGGTTATCTCTCTAATGAATCGCCGGCGGGCGTTCTCGTGCAAGGAGTCGGGCGAACTAGAGGTGGCCATGCAGAAGACTCCTTTTGGCAGGGTATCGATTAGTTTGTTAAGCTGCGCGGATATGCGTAGGGAGTTTCCTGCGTTTTTGGCATCCGAAGAGTTGGTTGAAGGACATAACAATTCGATATCCTCTATGATTATTACAATGGGCGCTGGGAAGTGCAACATATCATTAGTTTTTTAATTTTTTCTTTAAAAATTAAACTTACACAATGGACGTAGTTTCTTCTTAAAAGTTTCGGCTGCTTTGAAGATTCGTCTTAGCTCCTCTTCAGTTTCTCCAGGATATGAACGCAGGACCTGGCTGGCTGTGATATAGAAGCCATTGCAGAATTGCCTCTTTAAGAGCTCACCAAGTATTCTACTTTTTCCGCTTCCCACAGGTCCCAGTACCAAGCAAGTTGCAGGAAACTTGAGCAAGCAGCTCTCTGAGGTGCTCACCAGTTGTTTCAAGGATTCCAGATGCTCCTCGAATCCATGTGATAGGTACTTGGATGAGGAATCTAAGGGATAGGGTACCCTGAGCCGTGTGTCTGCCACTTGGAGGTTACAGGTCTTTGATACTTCAAAGCAATCATCCTGTCCCGCACCTGAAGCATCCACTATTTCCACACTGGCTATTCCCAGCTTTCTGAGACGTCGGTGCTGCACGGAACAACCTTTGATGAGCTTCAAATGTCGCAGGAAGACTCGTAAATCGTCCTGAATGTCCTCCAGCGAAAGCAGAGGTTGCACAAACAGCTCCTCCGTAATGGTGACCAAACAGGAAAGCTGATCCACGCTCCCAGCGAACTTTAGAGGTTTTAAGCCCAACAAACGCTGATTGGCAAGGGATAGTTCCGTGGAAGCCACAGTTCCATCCAGAAAGCAACAAGTCTCACCGCCGGCACGTGAGGTGACCCGGCACACCGCAAAGCTTCCATCAGAGAGACAGCACTGACACCAATCTAGCTCGACAGGATCCTCCCTCTCAGGCAGGTAACATATTTGAGGATAGTCATCGCTGTCATCCACCAGGGAAAGCGGAAAAGCAGGGTAATCCAACTCCTTGTTGTGCATGTTTTCCTTCCGAACAGTGCTGCTAACGCGTCGCGGAAATACCGCGAATAAAATACCATCGTGTTATCGATAGTTCTCCACCGATAACCGCGAATACAACTCTCCGACGCCAACGCTATCTCAGCCGCTGTGACGCAGAAAATTGTGTAAAAATTAACTATTTGATTATTTATAGAGGGTTTGCGGCGTCAAAAGTGCTGGAAGAGTGGCCCCCATCCGGTGTCCGAGCAGTTTTTGCCAAGAGCAGCCAGTGAGTGTCGTTTTAACGCGGTTTTGACCCTGAATTTTCGCCGATCGATCGGCTTTTTTCTCTATATTTCTTTCTCCCCCTGCGATTGTGTGGGTGCATGTCTGTGTGGGTGCTCCGCTAATGTTTTTCTTTTCGGACTTCGGCGCAGGTAAACAAACGCTGCTGATGCGCGACATGGCGGACTTGGACGCTGTGCACCTGGGCCTCGACGAGAACGAGGCGGACATTGCCGAGGAGCTGCAGGACTTTGAATTCAACACCCGTAGTGAGGCCTCGGAGTCGAATGGCGGAGACTCTTCTGACTCGGAGCCCAGCATCAGTTCGGTGAGCACGGCCACCTCCTCGCTGGTGGGCAGTTCCAAGCGCAAGACCAAGAAGGCGACCAAGGAGGCCCCTGCCCCAGCTGCCGAAACGAAGAAGACATCCTCGAAGATTTCAAAGAGCAAGAGGGAACTCACACCGGAGGAAGTCAACGGCGGCAAGAAGAAGAAGGTTTCCAAAAAGACCTCTTCCGAGTCATCAGAGAAGGAGCAGGGAAAAACGTCGTCCGGAGAAGGGCGAGAGCCACAGGCGAAAAAATCCCGCGGTAAGAAAAGTACCACGGAATCGGTGGGACACAAGAGCGATATCAGCGAAGCTGAGGACGAGAAGCCTGTTGCTCCTTCTCTGGAATCAGACTCAGAGTCGTCAGACTCAGATTCGGGCACGCAACACAAGAGAAACGGCGGTAACGGAGGAGCGGGACGGGGAAAGCCCAGTTCCAAGAGCTCCACTCCCGAAAAGGATGGTGGCTCCCAATCGCAGCCGCAAAAGGGCTACGACTACATGACCAAGCTGAACTACCTGTTCCGCGACACGAGGTTCTTCCTGATCAAGTCCAACAACAGCGACAACGTCCAGCTATCCAAGAGTAAGAGCGTCTGGGCCACGCTTCCACAGAACGACGCCAATCTGAACCAGGCCTTCAAAGAGGCCAGAAATGTGCTGCTCATTTTCTCGGTCAACGAGAGTGGTATGTTGTTTCCTTCTTCTAAGTGTCTCCACCTCCTTGGGTACCCCACTATAATTCACACAATATCCCCATGTGCTTGCAGGTAAATTTGCAGGGTTCGCTCGCATGGCAGCCCCTTCGCGGCGCGACATTCCTCAAGTGGCCTGGGTGCTGCCCCCCAGCATATCGCCCAAGGCCCTAGGCGGCGTCATCGAGTTGGACTGGATATGCCGCAAGGAGCTGTCCTTCAACGCCACTCTCCACCTGCACAACAGCTGGAACGAAGGCAAGCCGGTCAAGATTGGCCGGGATGGCCAGGAAATCGAGCCCAAGATAGGCGGCGAGCTGTGCCGACTCTTCCCCGAGGACGAACAAATCGAATTGACGCCCATACTCAAGAAATCCAAGGAGACGGCCCGTGTAATGCGTGAGAAGGGCATCCACGTGATTTACAAGCCGCCGCGCAGCCTCTCGACCCGAGGCCACGGCACCGGAGGGCCGAGGGGTGCGAACCACAACCAGTTGGGTCCGATGCGGCACAAGAGGAGCTATCACGGCGGACCGCCGCATCACCGTCCGTATCGCCACCATCATCATCATGGCGGCATGGGAATCCCGCCAGGTGGTGGCTTCAAGCGCAGTGGCTCACCCTATCGCCAGATGGGGGCTGGTGGTGCAGGCGGAGCACCCGGTGGTCCCGGCGAGATGACCATGCCCTCCTGGGAGCGCTTTATGTCCTCGGCCGCAGCCGCCGAGGCTTATGTGGCGGATTATATGCGAAACATGCACGGCCAACTGCCCCCGCTGCCCTTCGTGCCGCCGTTTTCCCAGCTGCCGATCGCAGGCGGCGGCGCGGGAGCAGCTGGAGCACTGCCTCCAGGAGCTGCGGCTGCCCTGTACGAACAACTGCCTCCGCCGGTAAGGTACTACGACGGCCCGGGGCCGCCTCCCCTGCCGGACTATCCACCGCCCCAGAGGCCACCGCCGCCCGGATTTGACAAAACTCCCAGCTACGAGGAGTTCGCCGCCTGGAAAAACGCCGGCCTACCCACGGTCCCGCCTCCAGGCTTTCCCGTTTACGGGGGGGCTTCCAATGGAGGCAGTAACGGGGCCGGTGGGGCAGCTGGCGGAGCCCAGGCGGCAGCGGCCGGCGTAGGCCTGGGGCCTGGTGTGGGCGGCAGTGGAGGGGGTTCGGGCAGTATAGGTGGACCGGGTGGCTACCGGAATCGAGATGCCAATAACGGATCTTCGGGCGGTCGACGGCGGGAGTACGGCGGAAACCGCAGTGGATCTTCGCGGGACTCGCGACCTTTTCGGGGCGACCGCGGTGGCCAGCGAAGCTATCGGGACAACAGGCGCTAGACGAGACCGACTGCTCGCCTAGTCGGATCTAGATTCGGTGGAAAGTGTAATCCTAACCCTCTCGCGTGTGAAAATGCAATGAGAAATATTGAATGCGTATCGGTTATAAGAAAAGTTTAATGATAATGATAATGATCGCTATCGTCTTCAAATCGATACAACTCTCTTTCAAGCCCTCCCCCTTTCTCTCTGTCCCCCTCGCTACCCCACCCACATATAATATAATTTAAACAAACTTACGACATAAGCAGAAAATTTAAATTTCAATTAAATATTTTAAACTAATGCTAAAAAATACAAAACAACACGAGAGAAATGTGAACTTTATTTAACAGAAAGAGAGAGAGAAAGACTAAAGAGACGCCCAACAACAACTGTTACAACCAACAACAACAACAACCATGAACGAACTTGAGTTAACACGAGCAGTGCAATCAGTGATGTGTGTAAATGTGTGTGTCCCCCGATCTAAGCCCCCTCTTGCCTCTTGCCACTAAGCCAGCCGCCCCCCAAAAGTCCCCCAAAACGAGATTCAGCTCAAGCGGGGCACAGACCCCATAAGAAAGACTGCCAAGGACGATGATCCCGTCCAGTCTCCTGGGATCCGATCCGACTCGTTTCGATTCGTTTGGATCTGCCCTATAAGTAGTTTAAAATTAATGCAATCATATCTTACGCCTGACTTGTCTTGCAGACAGAAGACCGTCCCAGCTAACAGACACACATCTACCGTAACCGCCTCGGTCCGGACCTTGGTCCGGGATCCTTCTCGAACTGTTTTGACTCCTGAAAGGTCATAAATCACCATCGATTCCATTCAAAGACTGCCTCTATTTCGAACTCCCTCGGAGTCCTCGACCACATCTCTAGAAATGACATTTCGGACGGACGTAGGGTATTTGCTCTGTTTCTTTGCAGGATCTGGAACATCGGCGTGGATACTCGGTACTTGGACTCCTAAATGGAAAAGCCTGCCAAGGATAAGACTGAAGATTAATAAAAGTTACAATTAATGCAACTAAAGGCATTTTGTTTACCATTTCTTGGGGAGATAAAACCATCACTTGGGTCTAGTTTTAATTATTCTCTACCTTGGAAGAACTAATTAGTCATGTAATTAGTAAGCCTGAAAAACATTATACAAAACAAGAAAGGAAAGCTAACTTCGGGCGGAGCCGAAGTTTATATACCCTTGCAGTTAAAACCGGATATATATCGCAAACATCGGATATAGTTGGCCGATCCTTATGGGAATAGGAATATATAATCCAATTTATTACAATACAAAATCTCCAACTTCTATCTTCAAAAATACGAAAGTTGATATTTCTACCAAATACCATTTCCGATCGTTCAGTTATATGGCAGCTATGGGATATAGTCGGCCGATCCTTACGAAATTTGGCATGTCGTATTATTTTGCCAAAAATAGCGCTCGTGTAAAATTTGAACTCTCTAACTCTAAAAACACCGAAGTTATACCATTTCCGATCAATCAGTTATATGGCAGCTATAGGATATAGTCGGCCGATCCGGGCCGTTCCGACTTATATACTGCGTGCAAAGGAAAGAAGGGTGTGTGCAAAGTTTCAAGACGATAGCTTTAAAACTGAGAGACTAGTTCGCGTAGAAACAGACAGACGGACAGACGGACATGCTCATATCAACTCAGGAGGTGATCCTGATCAAGAATATATATACTTTATAGGGTCGGAGATGTCTCCTTCACTGCGTTGCACACTTTTGACCAAAATTATAATACCCTCTGCAAGGGTATAAATATGTTAAGCAGTCTCAACAGTTAAGGTTGAGTTTCCAAATCACCACCGTTATCTATAGGCCCATTTCTTTAAGCCTAATTGATTTTCTAATCGACTACTACTGCGTGTTAAGATTGTTTCCTGGTTTTTAACAACTTCTGGCTTCTAATTACTCACTGATAAAATATACATTAGAAGAGGTTTAACAAAAATGGTAACCAAATAAATAGTAAATAGTTAATGTACAAAAAAAACCTTTAAAATACTAAATTAAACATTTAGTTAAAATAAAATTCCAAATGTTTTGGAATTGATGTATGTAGGTCTTGGGAAAAGACCTAGGAATTACCTATTTCTTGTAGAACTTTGAAAAGAAAGCATTTTTTCAAAGTAAGTTTCTTTCCTTTTTAAATCTTTAGCTTCCTTAAACTAAACAATTAATTTTTAATAAGAATTTTTATTTAAAAAACGGTAGTTATGCATCATCAGAATATACATTGAATTACATTTTTAAAGAATTTCTGTATCAACATCCTTCACACCAGCATTTAAGGCTTGGACTGCAGTGTCCACTGGTGCGTCCTTCCTCCTGGCACACCCGGCGGCAGGTGTCATTGTCCCAGACAGCGCAGGGACCCTTATATCTCCCAGAAAGGCAATCGCCTTCTGCTTCATGGGCCACCAGGAACACCAGGAGAAGCACAAACAGGAATCCAGGATTGAAGCTCTTCATGTTCGGAGTTCACGAATTTATTCTGGTTAAGTCACCGGTTGGGCTTTGTTTATATAGGACTGCTATCACGTGGTGATAAGTTAAAGAATTCCTTGAATGCAAATATTTACTTGTCGACGGAATTCCAGTTCAAGTGCAATGATTAGAAAAGAAAGGAGAACAAAGCCGAAAGCTTATGTACTCTTCAATCATATAACTTTTTTCTATAGTTTTGTAAAATCTCACAAAATTTGCTTTATCTGAATCTTTATCTAAAAATATATTTTAGCTTTCTTAATGGGACTCCCTTAGCTTAAAAATTTATCAGATTAGGAAATATATCTTAATTCTTAATCCGATTTATTTTTTAAATGGGGAAAGAATAGAATTTCTAGACATGTTTTTCTTAAAATAAATACGGAACTCATAAAATTAGTTCGTTTCTTAATAAATAAGAAAATCATAATTCGTTATTTTATTTAAAAAAATACCACAATTCAAATTTTGAAAAACCAGTAGTGTGACCATATAACATAAACAGCTGGTGGGGGTAAAAAGTAAAAAATCGGCTGCCTCCACACTAACTTTTATTTTGTTATCGAGTTGAGCGTCCTGGCGGGAATATTTCCTAGACGTAAAACGCACAGAAAGTTTTAGAAAAAGCAAATGAAAACACAATAAAACAAATCATTTTAGTCTCCAGATGGCACCAAACTCGCAGGATGAAACCCCTGCAAAAGGGAAGCAGGTGTACTGTGGGTTGGGCAACCACAAGCTGCAGACGCCCAACAAAGCCCTCAGGAACCGCGTTCTGCTAAGTTTCGCAAGAAAGATAAACCCAGAAATTCGAGAGGGAACGCTTCTCTGCTTGAAGTGCTACATTGGATTGGAAAAGATATTTCATAATAAGCTGCGTAGTAAGCGGCAGCATGAAATGAAGAAGAACGCAACAGGCTCCAGTATTTCGGACGTGAGCAATAGTCAGTCCATACAGACCAGCTCCTCGGAGGGAAGTTCAACTACAGCAGTCAGGGCCATTGCCCAACAAGTCATTAATCAAAGTAGTGAGAGTTCCGCCGCCCCAGTCAGATCGCCGGAAAGTAGTCAAAGCAGTGATCGCCCCACAACTAGCGCTGCTGCTGCGGCCAGAAGGAAGCGAAAGAGTGACGAACGGGGTGAACCGCAATTCTCAAACTTGGCGAAAAGGACTCGTCCGCTACCGGACCCGACAGATTCAGACGACGACCCCAATTCCAATTTAAGTCTAAATGCCGTCAATGGGACAAGGTTACCCCACATTCAACCGATTCCCAAACGCCGTCAAACTGTTATTTTAAACAAGGCTGCGATGGACATCTATTTGGCGGGGACCACTGGTGGATAACCATAGCCTTACTTTTACATTGCTGTGAGCTTTTAAGGATGTAGTTTAGAGGAAAAGTCTGTTAAAGAATACTTAAACAAATTATGTTAAGAGTTTACGTTAATACCCCAATGTCTTGTGTTGAGTCTCATGTTTTAAGACAAAATAAACTTTGTGAATTTGAAATAAAGGATGTGTTTTATTCCAAAGGTTGAGAGCTTTGTTAATAAAAAGGATTTTTTATACTTTTATTTCAAAAGACCGTCCATACATATTGATTAAGACAGTGTCTGGATTGTGGGATGGTATTCTGTCTCAACATCCTTCACACCAGCATTTAAGACTTGGACTGCAGTGTCCACTGGTGCGTCCTTCCTCCTTGCAAACCCGACGGCAGGTCTCATTGTCCCACACAGCGCAGGGACCTCCATACCTGCCAGAAAGGCAATCGGCATCCGCTTCATGGGCCACCACGAAGACCAGCAACAGCACCACCAGGAGTCCAAGATTGAAATACTTCATGCTTGCAGTACTTAAGAGTAATTGTGATTGAGTGTCGGATGAGCTCTGCTTATATAGGGCACAAATCCAAAAGCTTTGTGATAGATTAGCAACATTACTTAAATGTAAATATTGATAATTGTATGTCGAATGCAATTATTAAGAAATATCTATTTTTAAACCTGAGTTTTGTAATTGTGGTAGGCATATCTTAACTTTGTCGAGGGAAAAACCTTGTGGCAAACGAACCTCGAAACCTCGAAAATTAGAAAACTAAATCCTTTTGAATTATATGCATACTTATCGCTTATAAATTTGTGATTAAAATAGTACCTTTAATATAGGATTAACAAGAAAGGAAAGCTTACATCGGGCGGAAGCTAAATTGATATACCAAATAGCCAACTCGATATATAAAAATATCATTTTTAAGTGCATCAATATGATATGAAATTTTAGATTTGATTCAGCACTAAGGTGGAAAATAGTTAACTCTAATAATTGCTGTTCGATTTTCAGTCTTAATCGTTCAATATTTACACGATTCCCAAACCGGCTCAGCAACTATTTTAGACATGCAAGGGAAAACCTAGGCTTACGTATTAATTACCTTAAACTTTTAATATAAAATGGGCCTAGAATAATTGACCTGGGATAACAAATAAAATTGCCAATTATATTGTCAGAATCAAAATAATGACTTGTTTGAACAAAATAGTGACAACAATTTTAATCTTAAATAGAAACCACCATTTCAAAAGACAAAAAATATCTTTGTTTTATTTATTAACATGTATTTATATATTTATAAAGATTATAACATGTTATATTAAGAAATACAATCTTGTTAGTGCTTAAAAGGCATAAGAATTATAATAAATGCCAAAATACATCGCTTCAAGAGATATATCTCTCATATCGACGTCCACTGGATCATTCCAGAAAGTTCGATCTGCCATGTCGACATCCATTTCTGTGTCACCTGGGTCCTTCCAGGGAGCCAAATAAAGGTTAGCATTAGTTACCTTTGGTATGTAGCTCAAAGTAATCCAGACAAGAATACATATAACAAAAATTATTGAAATAACTTTGATGAAATTCTGCCAGAAAATCTTCTGACGGATCTCGCGATCTAAATCGATGTGGATTTTCTGAAATAAGCCTATTGCTTGATCCATAATATATAGAGGCTCCATTGCCTCTATTTAAGTCCTTTAAATGGTTATGTTTCGTTTTAGAATGTCGCCTTAATATATTGTGAAATATGTGTACCTACCAGTTAGAGGGTAAAGAGATGACTAATTTTTCATTTCGCTTTTCTTCTTGATAAAAGCTTAGAAAGGAGCTTAAGGGAGAACACTTACCCTATCTTCTGAAAAACAAATAATTATTATTTAAGAAAAATATTATTTAAAAATTTCGTGTACCCATATGAATCTAATACCTAAAAAACATTTACCATTTAATAAAGACCATTTAATAAAGATACAATTTTATGCATTTTTAGTTTTTCATTTTATGAAAGCCTCCCTTAAAAGCTTAAAAAGTGCAATGAAAATGCATACAGTTGATTGAATGTTAACAAAATCATGACTAATAGATAAAACTATCGTTATATTTGCTCGTTAGTTGAACGAACCCGATAAGAACGTTGTGCCCGGTAATCTATTAAAACTAAATAAACAAAATGTTTTTATTTGTTCGTTTCGTTTTATTTGTGTTTTTATATTAGTTATTAAATTACTTGGGCATTTCCCAATGGATTCAACCATAGCATCCCAACAGTCGTACTATACTAGATTATTTCAATTAAAATTTGTTCACTCCGCAGAGTGATACTCTTATCAACTTGAGTATTTCATACACGTCTGGTAAATCCCAGAACCCCTAAGCTGGGGTTTACTGATCTCTACCTATTTAAGATTTGGAGCGCAATCTATTCAACGCAAGGGGAAACCCCCAAAAGTGTGTGTAGAATGCAATGACTTTCTTTGATACGCTTATCTGTGACTTAATGGGGTTCTGTATTTAAGTTAGGAATCGTATAAAAGAGCTTCCAAGACGAGCTTGTTTCCATTCATTGAGGAAACTCAGAACCAAGAACCAAGAAAAAGATGATCCAAATCAAGTTTGTGTATTTTCTCTTCGCCGTAATGGCACTCGTTGTCCTGGGCGGCAGCGTGGTCAAGGCTGATTGCCTTTCCGGGAAGTTCAAAGGTCCTTGCGCTGTTTGGGATAATGAGCGGTGCCGGCGCATCTGTGGGGAGGAAGGACGACAAACTGGACACTGCAGTCCTAGTCTCAAGTGCTGGTGCGAAGGTTGCTAAAATGTGACTTTAAATTTGGATATAAATAATTAAAAATAAATCCACAGAGAACATTGTAAACTATGTAATTTTTGTAACTATGTAGTAATTTGTATCTTTTTATCTATTACTCACTACGGCCTGTGGCTCGTCACCTACTTGGAGTGCGGCCCAGCGAAAGCTACATACATTGAGGTTGCGCGACAAAACAAAATTTATATTAAATTCGATATTATAGCAGTCTTCAATGGTGCTTTTGTAATATTTTTAGAAATACTTCAACGTATCCTAATACATTTATTCCGAGAAAACTCACAGCCAGGGACTAGATAAGTCCGATTAAAAATGCAGTCTTCTTTTGTTGTCTTATCAAGGTATGAGATATTTTGTGGATGACTTGTGAATTCCATAACCCCGGAAACAGGGGTTTCCTAATCTCCACTTGGTTAAAAGATGAATCACAATTCTTTCATATTTTTAATTTAACTCATTGGAAAGTTCAAAAGAGTTTAAAAAATTATTAATGTTGCTCAACCATGTTGATAATACGAATGTGCAACATTAATTGATTACCGTATCTTCCTTTGGTTTGAGTAATTTTTAAGAAGCCCATAAACCTATATATGATCTACCAGGATGACCGTATTTCCATTCAAACAGGAGTTTTCTAACCAACCAGATGGTGCAAATCAAGTTTCTATATTTTCTCTTTGCCATAATGGCACTCGTAGTCCTGGGCGGCAACGTAGCCAAGGCTGATTGCCTTTCCGGCAAATACAGAGGTCCTTGTGCTGTTTGGGATAATGAGCTGTGTAGGCGGCTCTGCAGGGAGGAAGGACGACAAACAGGACACTGCAGTCCCAGACTCGCGTGCTGGTGCGAAGGATGCTAAAATTAAACTTTCAAATTAGATATTAATAATTAAAAATAAATTCAAAGAGAGCGTTGTAAAATATATTAAATACAAGGCTCATCACGAAAAAATACATCAATAAATACATCACGCAAAATGAACAAAATATCTAAAAAATATTTCGTCTCAAGATTTTGATGCAGAATCGATCTAGAAATCGTTTAAGGTACTCCGCTTAAGAATCGAATGAGAATTGAGGAAGATATAGCCATCGCTGTGGGCCATATAGGGGTAAACCTCATTTTCAAGGGATGCCATCACAAAAATGGATAAAAAATCTAAAAAATATTTTGTCTCAGGATTTTGATGCAGAATGGTGGAGAATCGATCTAGAAATCGTTTAAGGTACTCCGCTTGAGAATCGAATGAGAATTGAGGAAGATATAGTCATCGCTGTGGGCCATATAGGGGTAAACCTCATTTTCAAGGGATCCCATCACAAAAATGGATAAAAAATCTAAAAAATATTTTGTCTCAGGATTTTGATGCAGAATGGTGGAGAATCGATCTAGAAATCGTTTAAGGTACTCCGCTTGAGAATCGGATGAGAATTGAGGAAGATATAGCCATCGCTGTGGGACATATGGGGGTAAACCTCATTTTCAAGGGATGCCATCACAAAAATGGATAAAAAATCTAAAAAATATGTTGTCTCAGGATTTTGATGCAGAATGGTGGAGAATCGATCTAGAAATCGTTTAAGGTACTCCGCTTGAGAATCGGATGAGAATTGAGGAAGATATAGCCATCGCTGTGGGCCATATAGGGGTAAACCTCATTTTTAAGGGATCCCATCACAAAAATGGATAAAAAATCTAAAAAATATGTTGTCTCAGGATTTTGATGCAGAATGGTGGAGAATCGATCTAGAAATCGTTTAAGGTACGCCGCTTGAGAATCGGATGAGAATTGAGGAAGGTATAGCCATCGATGTGGGCCATATAGGGGTAAACCTCATTTTTAAGGGATGCCAAAAATGGATAAAAAAAACTAAAAAATATTTTGTCTCAGGATTTTGATGCAGAATGGTGGAGAATCGATCTAGAAATCGTTTAAGGTACTCCGCTTGAGAATCGGATGAGAATTGAGGAAGGTATAGCCATCGATGTGGGCCATATAGGGGTAAACCTCATTTTTAAGGGATGCCAAAAATGGATAAAAAAAACTAAAAAATATTTTGTCTCAGGATTTTGATGCAGAATGGTGGAGAATCGATCTTGAAATCGTTTAAGGTACTCCGCTTGAGAATCGGATGAGAATTGAGGAAGGTATAGCCATCGCTGTGGGCCATATAGGGGTAAACCTCATTTTCAAGGGATGCCATCACAAAAATGAATACAAAAATTTAAAAAATATTTTGTCTCAGGATTTTGATGCAGAATGGTGGAGAATCGATCTAGAAATCGTTTAAGGTACTCCGCTTGAGAATCGGATGAGAATTGAGGAAGGTATAGCCATCGCTGTGGGCCATATAGGGGTAAACCTCATTTTCAAGGGATGCCATCACAAAAATGAATACAAAAATTTAAAAAATATTTTGTCTCAGGATTTTGATGCAGAATGGTAGAGAATCGATCTAGAAATCGTTTAAGGTACTCCGCTTGAGAATCGGATCAGGATTGGTGACGATATAGCCATTCCAGTGGGCCCTATGAGGGGAAAACCCCATTTTCAAGGGACCCCATCAGGAAAAAATAATTTATATTTTTTAAATAGATAATAATTTATTTCTTATTTTATTCACGGCTTTATAAAATATGTAGTTAGTGGCCTTCTGTTGCTCATTATGGAGTGTGGTTCGTCACCTATGTACATAGATTGCCGTCCACCTACAGACCAACTAGTCCAAAGTCCAACTAGTAACTAGGTTAGTCCCAGTTACATATTTTTCTCCTATCAACTGGCTGATTTGATGCACTTCTGGAACATTCCATTACCCCGCAAGGTGGAGTTTATTGATCTTTACTTATTTAAAATCATTACTTATTTAAATCGCGATTCTCTCAATTTATAAACAAACTCATTTATTTATTTGATTACCTTATCATTGTTTCAAATGCTTTTTTAAAAAACCTCACTCATATATAAGGTCTTCCAAGATGAGCTTATTTTTATTCAAATAGGAGTCTTTGAACCAAGAACAAGATGGTGCAAATCAAGTTTCTATATTTTCTGTTTGCCGTATTGGCACTCGTTGTCCTGGGCGGCAACGTAGCCAAGGCTGATTGCCGTTCCGAAAAATACACAGGCCCTTGCGCTGGCTATAATAATGGTCTGTGCATGCGGCTCTGCAGGGAGGAAGGACGGAAAGCTGGATACTGCAGTCCCAAACTCGCGTGCTGGTGCGAAGGATGCTAAAATTGAACTTTCAAATTGCACGTTAATAATTAAAAATACATCCATAGAGAACGTTGTAAAATATATTAAATACACGCCTCATCACGAAAAAATACATCAATAAATACATCACGATTTTGATACAGAATGGTGGAGAATCGATCTAGAAATCGTTTAAGGTACTTCGCTTGAGAATCGGATGAGAATTGAGGAAGATATAGCCATCGCTGTGGGCCAAAGTCCAGCTAGTAACTAGGTTAGTCCCAGTTACATATTTTCCTCCTATCAACTGGCTGATTTGATCAAGGTGGAGTTTACTGATCTTTACTTATTTAAAATCATTCCTTATTTAAATCGCAATGCTCTCAATTTGTAAACAAACTCATTTATTTATTTGATTACCTTATCATTGTTTCAAATGCTTTTTTAAAAAACCTCACTCATATATAAGGGGTTCCAAGATGAGCAAATTTCTATTCAAATTGGAGTCTTTGAACCAAGAACAAGATGGTGCAAATCAAGTTTCTATATTTTCTGTTTGCCGTAATGGCACTGGTAGTCCTGGGGGGCAGCATGGCCCAGGCTGAATGCCTCTCCAGTAAGTACAAAGGTCCTTGCGCTGTTTGGGATATGGACCGGTGCAAACGACTCTGCAAGGAGGAAGGACGACCAAGTGGACACTGTTCTGGCAGCCTCAAGTGCTGGTGCGAAAGTTGCTAAGACATTTAATATTTGGAATTTAAATTTAAAAATAATCAAATCCATGGAGAAAATTAAAATAAAATAATAAAATATATTCAACATGCAAAGATTACGTTTCACAATATGTATAATATTTATTGTTTAAGGTTTTGTTTTATGAAAATTAAATTTAATCATACAACGAACAAACTTACAAATACATTTTATAATGCAATTAAAACATTGACTTTATATATATATAATAATCCTTTTATACTTTCGTGTTTCGGGTACCGCGTTAGCTTTTAAGTAGACACGTGTATCGTTTATTTTGAATCTTGTTTTCCAAATTGTTGGCCCTTGGCGCGTATCGGTAAAAATTAAATAATTATATAATGTGTATATGTATATAAAAAATACAAAAACAATTCGGCCTGGTTGTTGATCTGTTCTAGCGGTGGCTTCTGTTCGTCAGGTTTGGGGTTTACTGCGGCGGTACTTGGCTGGAGCGGCGCTTGTCCTTGTCCTTCTCCTTCTCCTTGTCGCCCTTGCGTCCAAATATGCGGAACATGCCGCTGCGTCGCTCCTCCTTGCTGCCCTTGCTGCTGCTGCCCTTCACCCCCGACACGGAGGATATCGACTGGGCCTCGCTCTCGCTGGAGCTCTCCGCGGAGACCCGGGAGAAGCTGATGGAGTCTGGCTGCAGGGAGACGGGTCGGTTGCTCTCGAAGCGGCTGGTGCCCCAACCTGGGATTGGACAAAATAGATTAGTAAAGTTTACAAGTGGGATCATCACCAGGCATCATGCATTGGGGAAGAGAATACACAGAGTGAGTTATTTGGGAGTGATCATGCAGGTAATATATAATCTAGGATCTAGATAGACCATGTAAGGACTTGGGAGAAGGATTATAGAGAATAGTTTGTGGAAATACTTTGCAAACTCGTCCGCAGGTAGGAGCGACGGGTTAGCTTCACCGGCTTGAAAGTGGAGGAGCCTTTTCCGAGCATGCATTCAAAGTAAAGACATAGAAAGCAAACAATATTATCCATCAACCAGAAGAGGATCTTAAGACTAACATTAGAGGAGGGATGCTATGGTACAGAGTCTTTAGGGATTAATATCATTCGTCTAACCACCGGCTCCGTTTGTTTCGAAATTGTTATTCAGATGCAGACCCATATAGCTTGGATTACTGATGGCATTGATGGTGTTCCCCGGCTCCAAGGAGCCCCCGGTTGAGGATGACTTGGTCGATGAGGTGGGCGAGCTGGTTAGATGCCACACCGTGCGACTGCTCGAGGTCACGTGGTGGGTGTGAGTGGTGGTGGTCGAAGTGGTTGTAATCTTGGTGGTGTTTCCACTTCCAGGCTTCACATTACCGTTGCCGTTGCTGCTCGCCCCACTGCTGGAGTAGTTGATGGTGCTCCTCTTGGGACTGCTGTTGCTGCTGCTGCTCCCGTTTCCGTTGTTGTTGTGCGACTCCATTTCGATGAACTTCCTGGTGGAGTCGATCCTGCCAGAGGGCACCTTCTGGTGGGAGTGTTGCTGCCTCGCCAGGTTGTTGTTGTAGTAGTCGGGCTGCTGGCTGGCCGCCGCGTTGAAGGCATTGATCCTCTGCTGGACCTGCGCCTGGTGGTGCTGCTGCTGCTGGCTCGGATGGGAATGGTGGGTGTGATGCAGATGCTGAGTCGTGTGGTGGCCACCCACCGGTGGCATCGTTGTTGGCAATGGCGGCGGATTATCTAACACGCGCGGCATCATCGAAGGACAATTTGTACAATGTGAATATGATGTGGGTACAGGGTCGGTGGAGTATGTGGTACACAGAGACAAATGGCAGGGGATGGGGGTCGTCATGGGGGGACTTCAACTCACCCGATTGTCTGGCCTCGCTGTTGCGCTTCAGCACTGCACCGTCATCCTTGCTGCCTCCGTTCTGCTGCTGGACTCCGCTCAGGCCGGCGGGCAGAGTAGCCGATTGCTGGAGGCGTCCATCGGTTAGGTCTGCAAACATGGAAGTGTGAGTCGTGCCAGGTCTCTTAAGATTAGCAGAACCCTTACCACTGCTGGAACTTTGGTGTTGGCGCAGCACCACTAGGTTCTCTTGGCTCTGGCGGTGGCTGGCCACTGGGGGCGCTCCTCTCGGCGGTATCGGTGGCTTCTGGTCGAAGCCGGAGGTGGGCGAGCTGGGGGATCCAGGCTGGGACTGGTGCTGTTGCTGCTGCTGTTGCATTTGTCGCTGCAGGAAGGCCATCTGGGGAGTGGCTGAGCCGTCCAGGAGCTGGCCGCCGCTGGAGCGACGCTGGGAGTCGGGGGAGGAGTTACGCGAGCTGACTGGCGACTCCACGCTGCTGGTTACCTTGATGTCCGGCGAACTGCTCGACTGTTGCTGCAAGATTGGGAGAGAAGAGTGTTAGAAATTGAAACTCCATGAGGGCTCCTTGTGTGGTTACCTTCATGGACTCGTCGTAGCTGAGCAGCTGTAGGTTTGGCGGCAGACTAGCGTGGAAGGATATCTTGCGGACCCAGTCGTTGAGGATGTCCAGAGACGGAGCCTCGAACAGGAACTCCGATCCGTCAGGTAGCTTTAGGCGGAAGACGTACTTCTTCTTGGTGTAGTCCTCCGCGCGCTCGCACTTGGCTCCCAGGATGTTGACCGGGGCGGTGGCCGTCTTCTGCTGCAGGAAGTCGTTCTCGTCCTTGAAGAAGCACACCAACTGGCCACAGAGCACGGTGTGGAACTGTTTCCAGGACCGCACAGGGGCCTTCTTGCCGCCCGACTGCAGTCCGTGCTTGCGCTCCAGCATGCCCTGAATCTCCACTGGCGGCAGGTCGAATCCTTCGCCTTTCTGGTTCTTTCGGAAGGACTGCGCCCGGCGCCTTGTGGTGAAGGACGGCGTGCGCTTGGCCTGCTTCGGCTGCACCTTCATGCTCTCGGCGCGCTTGACATTCGCGTCCGCGGACCCGCGACGCAGCCGATCCCCGAACATGCCGCTGGAGCTGCTCTTCTGCAGGGCGAGGCTCTCGCTGTCGTCCCCGAATGGCGGCTTCAGGTGGGTCGCCGGAGACGAGCCACCACTGGCTCCCTGGGATGGCGTGACCATGGGAGCGGAGAAGATAGGGGTCTTCTCCTGGGATGCCGCGTTCTGGCGATGCTCCTGCTGTTTCTCGGCTCGGCGTCGCTCATCCGCCAGGCGCTGGAGCTCCCTCTGCTTGATCTGCTCCAGACGCTCCTTCTCCAGGCGCTCCTTCTCCTGCCGCTTGCTTATCTTCTCCTGCTCCAGCTGCTGCCGGAAGAGCTGCTCCAGGAGCGTGATGCGCTTGATGGCTTGGAACTTCTCCTCCTGGGCGGCCACCGTCTTCTCAAAGTCCTCGTGCCGGCGCAGCAGGTCCTCCACCTGGGGAATGGAGTCCCCGAGCTTGGCGTCCTTCAGCTGTGGCTCGCGGCTGCTGATCCATTGCTCCAGGATCTCGGCGTCCTTGAGGAACAGCTGGGTGTCCAAGTTGAGTTCGTAGATCTCCCGACGCTTCTGCAGGGTGAGCTTCAGGAGCTCGTGTCGCGCCTGCAGGACCTTGATCTTGTCCTCCACCTCGTGGGCCAGGAAGTGCTTCTCCTTGATCAGCTGCTGGCCGTTGGCGGCGAACTTGGCGAAGGTCTCGTCCCTGGCTCGGATCTCCGTGTCGTGGTCCTTGGTGCTGGCCAACAGGAGCTCGGCTCCGGCCACGCTGGTGGCCAGCTCGGGGGCGGTGATCTTGGCCAGCATCTCGTTGATCCAGGCGATGAGGTCGCGGTACTCGTCGAAGTACGACTGCAGCTGCTCGGCTTGGCTGAGCTTGCTCTTCCTGGCATTGGTCTTCTCCTTCAGGTCCGTCCAGGCCTCCACCGTCTCGTCGCGCTTCACCTCGATGTGCTCCTTGGCATCCGGGTAGATCTCGCCCAGCTTGCCGGCCTCCGCGAGGACAGAGTCAACCTGTCCCTGGATGGCCACTAGCTCGGACTCGAACACCTGGTGCTTCCTGCCCAGGGCCTGGATGCTCTCCAGATCCTGTCCGTAGTCCTCGGAAATCAGGGAGGCATCCTTCTCGTTGATCAGCTGAATGGTCTCGTCCGCCACGCGGTCATACACATGGACCTGTTTGGCTCCGGCCAAGGCATCCTGGCGAGCGTGCACCAGATCCTTGAGCTCCTCCCACAGCTGCTTGGTTTCGTCGCGCTTGGACTTGATTGAGCTCCTGTAGGGGTTGTTCTCCTGGATGAGACGGTCGCCCCGCTCCAGGCAGGCTTCGACGCGCGCCTCGTTGGCGTTCAGGTTGGAGACGAAGGACTCGAAGGCCAGGATCAGCTGCTCAACGTGCTCCACATCCTCGCCGTAGTCCTCGCTGGCGGTGACCTGCATTTGGTCGCCCACCCACTCGTGCAGCTCCTCGGTCTCCCGCAGGTACTCGAACAGCTTCTTGCACTCGCCCAGGCGCAGCTCCCGCTCCTTGGCCAGGCGGAGCAGGTCCTCGTACTGCTGGCTGACCTGGCCGTTCTTCTCCCCGATGTTGGCACTGTCGAAGTGGTTCCTCTCGATGAGTCCGGTGGCCAGCTTGGCCACCTTCTCGATCGATGGCTTGAAGGCGGCGAGTTCCCGCTGGAGCACCTCCAGCTTCTTCTGGTGGCCCTGAACGGAGACCTCGTCGCGGCCGTAGTCGCTGCTGGCCAGGACGGGGCGCTTCTCCCGCATCCAGGCGTCCGCCTCGTTGGCCTCCACGTAGAACAGCTGGCTCTCCACGGCGTCCAGGAGCCGGAGGCGTCGGATGGCCGCCAGATCGCGCAGCGTCACAAGCTGCTTCTGGAGCAGCTCGGACTTGTATTGGATCTGCTCGCTGGCGAAGTGGTTGTCCCGGATCATCTGCTGCCCGCGCTGGAGGAGCGCTTGGATCAGCGGCTCCTGGGAGGTCAGCTCTGCCTCCAGGGAGTTGTGCTTCTTCTGGAGCCCCTGGACGGACAGGAGGCTGGTGCCGAGGTCCTGAGATCCCGCCACCAGCTGCTTCTCCGCCAGCCATTGCAGCTCGTCCTCGGCATCGCGCAGGAACTGCTGCAGGCTGAGGGAGTCCTCGAGGTTCTCCCGGCGAATGCCCAAGGGCTCGTGCAGGGTGTTGTACCTCTTAATGCTGGCAGTGGCCCGCTCGTGGATTTCGTGGCGCAGGAAGTGGTCCGCCTGGAAGAACTGCTCGTCCTTCTGCTTGAGCTGCTCGGCCAGCTCGCCGTGGTGGGCCACGTCCGCCTCCAGGCGCTCGTGCTTCTTCAGCAGGTTGCTGACGGCCGCCAAGTCCTTGCCGTAGTCCTCGCTGCTTAGCTGCAGCTCCACCTCGTCCATCCAGTTGTTGAACTCGTCCAGGGTGCGGCTGAAGGCCAGGGCGTCGTAGGCCTGCTGCAGCTTGTCCTTCTTGGCCTGCGAAGCACCTTTCAGCTTGAGCCAGTCTCCCTCCAGGAGCTGCACCTGCTGGGCAATCTCGTCCTTGGCAAAGTGCTCGCCCCGGATGAGCCGCTCGCCCTCGTGGATGACCGACTGGACTCGCGGGGAGTTGCTTAGCAACTCGGCATCGAAGGCGGCGTGCTTCTGGATCTTGCTCTGCAGGTTGCTCGGCTCCCTGTAGTTCTCGTCCAGGGCCACCTGGAGCTTCTGCACCAGCCAGCGGTCGATCTCGTAGAGGCTGCGCAGGAACTCCTGCAGTTGGAGCGACTGCACCAGGCGCTGCTTCCGCTCGGCGGACAGCTCGATCAGCTTCTGCTTCCTTCTCAGAATGTAGGCCAGTTTCTCGCGGATCAGGTCGGCATCCTTCGGGTCGCCTTCCAGGATGCTGTTGGCGAACTTCTGCAGGGTCTCCACATGGTCCGACTGCAGCAGCTTTTCGAACTCTTCGTGCTTCTTGAGGAGCCGCTCCACCGCCGTGTACGAGTCACCCAGGTCGTCGTTGTTCAGGAAGGCCTCCTTGTTGGCCAGCCAGATCTCCACCTGCTCCACCTGTGCCTTGAACAGCTGCAGCTGGTGGGCCTCGGTCAGGTCGCGGGCTCTCTCGCTCCAGGCCTCGTTCAGGGTCTTGTGCAGGTCCTCGAGGACGACCAGGTAGCGACGCACGTTCTCAGGCTGCTTCTGCTGCTTGGAGAGTAGGTCGCCCTGCTTCTGCAGGCCGGCGAAGGCCTCCTCGCGGCCCTCGATCTCCACCTTGCGCTCCTGGTGCAGCTCCAGCTGCGTCTCGCAGTCGTTGATGGTCGACGGGGCCTGGGCGTTGTTCATCTTCTTGACCATGTCGTTGACCCAGAGCTCCAGCTCCTTCACATCCGACACGAACTTGTGGCCCAGGTAGGCCTCGTTCAGCAGGCTCTGCCGCTTGACGGACAAGGCCTGCAGGTTGGCCCACGACTTGTGCAGCTCCTCCAGCTTGCGCTCGATGTGCTGGGCCCCGCGCTCCGGGTACTTCTTGATGAGGAAGTCGGCGGCGGTCTCGTGCTGGTCGATCTTCTGCTTCACCGCCGACATGTCCCGCTCCAGAGCCTCCTCCCTGCGGATCAGGGACTCGACGGCGGCCAGGTCTCTGCCGGTGTCCGTGGAGCTCATGGCCAGGGCCTTCTCGGCTATCCGCTCGGCCGTGTCGTCCGCATCGCGGTTGAACACATGGATCTCGTTGGCTCCGCCCAGCAGGGCACGGTAGGCGTTGAGGGCCCCCTGGAGCTGTCGCCAGTTGCGGTTGAAGTCCTGGCGCCGGGTGTCCACGCTCTGGGTGTCCGCCGGCAGCTGGGCCTGGTTGATCAGCTTGTCGGCCAGCTGGTTGATGTGCTTCACCCGCTGGTCGTCCACTCTCATGTCAGAGTCCACGTCGTCCAGCTTCCTCATCAGGGCGTTGCAGTGCTCCAGATCGCGGCCGGTGTCGCTGGCCTGCACCATCATCTCCTTGTCGCGGATCCAGGCCTCGATCTTGTCCAGCTGACTGTTGAACTCCAGGATGTCCTGGGCCTCCTCCAGGCCTCGGCCGCGCTGCTCCAGCTCGGCCAGCAGTCCCTGCCAGGCCTGGAGCACCCTTTCGATGGCCTGCTTGATCTCCGGCGATGACTCGTGCTGCTTGCTGAGGAGGATGACTCCCGTGTCCTGAATCTCCTGGATGCGGCCCTGGTTGGCGGCTACCTCGGCCTGGAAGGCCTGGTGCTTCTGCAGCTTCTTGATCTTCTCGTCCAGGTTGGCCACCTCGGCGTAGCTGGCAGCGTCGGCCTCCAGCTTCTTCTGCTTCTCGTTGATCCAGGACTCGGCCTCGGCACAGTCCCTCACGAACTTGGCGTACAACAGGGCGTCTTCCAGCTTGTAGCGCCGCACGGCGCATAGGTCCTTGACCTTCTGGCGACGGGCCAGGACGCCCTGCAGGATGGTCTGGATGTTGGCGCTGTCGTAGTGGCGCTGCTCGATCAGCTTGCGGCCGTGCTCCTGGAGCAGGGCCACCTTCTCCTCCTGCGTCTGGATGAGCCGCTCGAACTCGTCGTGCTTCCGGATCTTGTTCTGGACGTCCTCCACAGTCTGGCCGAAGTCGGAGCTGCTGAGGGCCGCCTGCTGGGAGCTGGACAGGTTGTCGATCTGCTTGGCGTCGCGCAGGAAGCAGAACAGGTCGATCTTCTGCTCCAGCATGATCTTCTTCTTGTTCCAGGCGGCGTGCAGCTTCTGGCGCTCGTCCAGCATGGCGGCGCACTTCTCCTCCACGTCGGCGGCGGCGTAGTGCCCGGTCTGGACCATGGAGTCGCTCAGCTCGTTCAGGTAGCGGAACTTGTCCTCCCTGGCCTCGATCTCTCCGTAGATAGCGTCGTGCTGGATCTTCAGGGCGGTGGCACCGATGGCGTCGCTGACGTGTTCCTCCGCCTGGAGGGCGGCGCGCAGGTTCGAAGACCAGGAGACGATGTCCCTGACGTCCGTCAGGAAGGTCTGCAGGTCAGAGCTGGCGGCCAGACGGTCTCCGCGAGCGGTGGACCGCTCCTTGAGGTCGTTCCAGGCAGCCACCACCTTGTCCTGCTGCTGGGCTATGGCCGCGGCGTTGGAAGGATACTTGGCCTGCAGGCGCACAGAGTCCTCAACGAGCACCTGGAGTTGGGCCTCCAGGGCGACCAGATCGTTCTCGAAGCCCTCGTGCTTTCGCAGCAGGGCCAGGGCAGAGTTGAGATCCCTGCCCAGTTCGTTGGACAGCGCGGCGTCCTTGTCCTGGATGCGGAAGAGGGCCTCAGCCACGTCGCGGTGGAAACGATGGATCTCGCCGGCGGCGTGGAGCTTCTGCTCGCGCTGGTTGAGCAGCTGCAGTAGGTTCTCCCAGGATGTCCTGAAAAAGGATTACTCTTTTTTTAGTAATTGGCCCAAGAATCCCACCCTAACCACTCACCTCAGTTGCTCCTGGCGCTTCTCCACCTCGTTGGCGTAGGGACTCTCGGAATCAATCAGCTTCTTAGCAAGGAGCTCGCACTGGTCCACCCGATCGGCACCCACCTCTACGCGATGCTTGAGGTCGTCGAACTTGTTCTGCAGGAGCTGCAGATGCTCAAAGTCCTGGCCGTAGTCCTCGGAGGAGGCGGCCTGCTCCTGCTCGCGGATCCACTGCTCCACCTCGTCGGACTCCAGGAAGTATTCGTGCTTGTACAGGCTCTCCATGAGGCGCACCTGGCGCTGGGAGGCGAGCTTGTGCAGGGACTTGAGCATCTTCTCGATCAGCTGCTGCTTGGCGGCCAGGACCTTGCTGTCCGGATGCCCGGCAGCCACCATAGAGGCGCAGCTGTGGCCCATTTCGGTGACGATGCCCGAGTAGGTGTCCAACTCCAGCTCGATGGTCTTGTGCTTGGTGAGCAGCTTGGCCGCCGAGTCGCGGTCCCGGCCGTACTCCGTGGACCGCAGGGCGTTGTTGCGCTCACCCAGCCAGGACTCGATCTCGCCGGCATCGAACAGGTACTGCTGGGCCTTCAAAGACATGTCCAGCTTGCGCGATCGCTCCGCGCAGTGGCCCTCCAGGTCGTGCCAGGCCTGCTCGAGCTGCTGGCACAACTCCTGCACGCGGTCCTTCTCAGGGTGCTGCTGGCCGATCAGGGTCTGGCCGGCTTGGAGGGCCTTGCTGATCATCGGCTGGTGGCCCTTGATCTCCGCCTCCAGCTTCTTGTGCTTTTTGTGCAGGGACTGCGCCTGGTGCAGGTTCTGGCCGAGCTCGTTAGACTTGGCGGCCGGCAGGTGGTCGTTGATCCACTGGAACTCTGCATCCAGTTCGAACACAAACTTGTGGTAGTTGAGGCTCTCCTCCAGCTTGGCCCGGCGGCGCTGGGTGGGATCCCGCAGGTCCTTGAAGCGCTGCTGCAGCTCCTTGGTGCCGGCCTCGATGTTCTGGGCGTTGAAGTGCCCCTCGTGGGCCATATCATCTCCCGTGGACACCAGCTCGGCGACCTTCTGGTCCCAGATGGTGATCTCCGACTCGAGGATCTGCTGCTTGTTGATCAGATCCTTGCAGCTGCGCAGGTCGTTGCCCACGTCGCCGCTTCGCAGGGCCGAGTCCAGCTCATCCACCTTCTTCTTGGCGTCCTCCAGGGCGCGGTTGTGCTCCCGCTGCGAGGAGGCCTGCTCCAGCTTGCGGCCCTTGTCCTCCGACAGGGTGAGCAACTCCTTCCAGCGCTTGTTCAGATCGGCCACTCGGGCCTCCACCTCGGGCACCCGGTTGCCGGCCTGGACCAGGGCCTGTCCGTCCTTGGTCACGTTCCTCAGTTGACCCTCGTTGGCGCGGAGCTCGCGCTCGAAGGCCTGGTGCTTCTGGAGCTTGCGGGGCAGGTTGCTCAGGTCGCGGTAGTTCTCGTCGCCGGCGATCCTGGTCTTGTCCTGCAGCCACACCTTGAGGTCGTCCGCCTCAGCGGCGAACTTCTGGAAGTCCTTGGAAGCTTGCAGAAGGCGCTTGCGCTCAAAGGCGCGGTCTCGGACGGCCTTGCGCTTGCCCAGCACTTGGTTGCGCCGATCACCGATGCTGGAGGGGATTGGAATGGGTTAGAAGCCGGGAAACTCCCTTTTGAGGCATGGGAATACTTACTACTTGGAATCATAGTGATCATTGGCAATAAGCTTGTCGGCGTTGTCCGAGAATCCCTTGAGGATCTTGTCCTGGGCCATCAGGCTCTTCTCAAAGTCCAGGTGCCGCTTGAGGATGGCCTCCACCTCGTCCAGGGAGGAGCCCAGGTTGTTGTACTCGAGGAAGGCCTCGTGGCTCTTGGTGGTGGCGTCGATCTTGTCCGCCTCCCGGTTGAACATCTGCAGGCCGACGCACTGCAGCAGCCACTTCTGCTTCTCGGCCCAGCCCCGGTGGATGGCATCCTGTTCGGCCTTAAGGCGATCGATCAGCGCCACGGTTTCCGCCATGTGGGGCTTGCCGTCGGAGAGCTGCTTGCCCAGCTGGATGATCTCCAGGAACTCGTTGTCGTGGGCCCGGATGTCGTCGCCCAGGTCGTTGTGCTTCTTCAGGAGGTTGTTGGCCGTCTCCACGTCGCGGGCAGACTCGTCGGCGTTCAGCTGGTCCTTGACAGAGTCGATCCAGGCGAGGAGGGTCTTTGCGCTGTTGTTGAAGATCTGCTGGCCCACCTCGCTCTCGATGCGGTTGCGGAGGTCGTTGCCGCGCTGCTGCACCTGCTGCCACATGTCCTGGACCTCCTTCTGGCGGCCATTAACGTTGTCCCGCTCCGCGGGATAGGCGTTCTTGACGGAGTTGCCGAGGTAGGTCACCCTGTTCACCTTGTCCTCGACGGGGGCCAGCTCGCGCTCCAGGTTTTGGTGGCGGCGCTGGAGGGCCTGCACCGTCCGCAGGTCGGGGGTGATCACCGCCGTGTCCAGCTGGAGCATCTTCTCGCTCATCCAGACCTTGGCCTCGTCGCAGGTGCGGTTGAAGAGCTCCACGCTGGAGGCCCCTTCCAGGGACTTTTCGCGCTGGGCCTTGGCGTTGTTGAGGCGCTGCCAGATCTGGTGGATCTGGCGCTGGCGGGCTATGATCTTGTCCAGCTGGGAGTGCCCCTGGCGGCGGAAGGTGTCCACGGCGCCGTCGATCTCCTCGACGCGCTTCGAGGCGGCGGAGAGGTCCGTGATAAACTTCTCGAACTTGCGCTTGGCGTTATCCACGCCCTCGCCGTCGTCCGACTTGATCATGCGCTCCTTCTCCTTCATCCACTTCTCGAAGTCGTCGCACTCGCGGTAGAAGCCGAACAGGTGGATGGAGTCCTCCAGCAGGGCGTGCCGCTTCTGGGCCATCTCCTGCAGCTCGTCGTAGGTGGCGTTGATCCTCTGCTGGCGCTTCTCCACGCTGTCGGCGTTCTCGTTGATGCTCTGGCTGGAGGTCCTGCGCTGCACCAGTGGCTTGGGCGCGGTGCTGACCGGCTTGATCCTCTTTACCGGCACCACCTGGCGCACCAGGATGGTCTTCTTCACCTTCTGCAGGGACTTGACCTTCTCCGCCTTGGGAACGATGCAGGCTACCGGGCGGGGCTCGATCTCCCGCACATAGTTGGCGGGCACGAAGCCCTCCACGCCGTTCTCCTTGCGGACGCACCACCAGTCGTCGTTGGTCTTGGACTTGAGCAGCATCACCTCGCCCTTGTCCATCTTCATGCCCTGGCCCTCGAAGGGGAAGAGGGAGCGCACGTGGGGCAGCAGCTTGGTCTCGGTGACCTTCTTGTGCTCCAGCTTCTCCACCCACTCGTCCTCCCACACCTCCTTGGGCACCAGCCTTGTCTCGTTCACCCACTCCTCCTGCTCCACCTCGGGCAGTTCCGGCTCGACGGCCGACAGCTCCAGCGTGCAGATGCCCGCCTTGATCAGCTTGTCCGCCTGCTGGTTCAGGTTGAGGATGTCTCCGGAGTAGGCGTTCAGCTCGCCCTGCAGGTCGCGGTGTCGCTGGAGCAGGGCCTGGGCCGAGGGCTCGTCGCTGCCGTAGTCCTTGGAGTTGACCAGGGCCATCTTCTCGTTCAGCCAGGACTCGGCCTCGTTGGCGTCCGTGTAGAACTGATAGGCTTCGGCGGCGTCTTCCAGCTGCCGGCGTCTGACCTCCACGAGCGCCTCCAGGGCCTGCCAGTGCTCCGCCAGCGAGTCGATCCGGCTCTGGATCTCCGAGGAGCGCGGGTGCTGCTCGCCGATCAGCCGCTTGCCGGCCTCCGACATCTGGCCGGACTTGGGCTTCCTCGACTTGATCTCGTCCTCGAGGGCCTTGTGCTTCTGCTGCAGTGACAGCACCGCGCGCAGGTCCTTGGCCGTGATGCCCGTCTTGCAGATGCGCTGCTTGTCCACCAGCCAGGACTCCTCGTTGTCGTAGTCCTCCATGAAGTGGTGGAAGTTGCGCGCCTCCTCCAGACGCGCTCTCCGGGCGGCAGAGCGTCGCAGCAGTTCAGAGTAGGCCTCCTCCAGCTCGGAGAGGCGCTGGGCCAGCAGGGCGGCGTCCTTGTGCTCGGAGTTCTTGTAGGGTAAAGCCTGGCGGTTGAAGCGCTTCAGAGTCTCGCCGTAGGTGTTGACCTGCAGCTCCTGCAGGGAGTGGGCCTGCAGCAGCTCCTCCACGCCCAGCAGATGGGGGCCCACGTCCTCGGAGGCGAACTGCTGCTGCAGCTCGCGCACGGACTCCGTGGTGCCGGCAATCTCGCGCAGCAGGTTCATCAGGTTGCTCATCTGGGAGAGGTTGAGGCGCTGGTTCTCGAGCAGCTCCAGCAACTGGCGCCACTTGGCCATCACCTCCTGCTCGCGGCGGCGCACTCGCTCCTTGCCGTGGTAGTTCTCCCTGTCGAGCTCCTCGGCCATGGCGGTCAGGTCGTTGAAGCGCTCCACGCGCGCCAGGATGTCCGCCGAGATGGCCTCGTGCTTCTTCAACGTGGCGTCCACTTGGCGCAGGTAGCGCGGGTCGGACAGCACCTGGATCATCTCCTTGAGGTAGCCCTCGCGCAGCACGGACTTCTTCTCGAACTTGTAGTTCAGCTGCTCGAGCTTCTCCTGGCGCAGCAGTTCCTCGCGCAGTGCCACCTCGCGGTGGTGCTCGGCGTACTCCAGGATCTGCCAGGCCTTCTCGATGTCGTTGACGAGCTGGCCGTCCTGCGGGTTGTATGGCGGCTGGTTCAGAGCTTTCAGCAGAGTGTTGACCGTGAAGTACAGGGCCTCGATCTCGCTGCGCTCCTTGTACCTGAAAGGGGAGAATGATGTAAATTCTGGTCTAGAACTTCCGGTTGGGAGCTCGCTCCCCCTCCCTACTCACTTGGGCGGCTTCTCAATGGTGCGGTACTCCTTGAAGGCGAGCAGTTCCCGTTGGATGCCCTCCAGCGAGTTGGGCAGATCGCGCTGCTCCAGCTCGAGCGTCTTCTGGCGGATCCAGCTCAGCAGGTTTGTGGTCAGGCGCTCGTACTGCATCTTCTTGCGATCGGCGTCCATCAGCTGGCCCACGATCTAGGAGACATTAATGATGCGGATCAGTGGTGGCCCAACAACTTTCGAGGCCTAGGCCCCCAACCCATATCCGAACCCGACTCGGCGGAGGCCAATCCATTGTGAAGTAGAGCGTTAACTGTGGGACACCGTTACGCTGCAGCGATTCGAGTCGGATTCGGATTCGGCATCGGAATGGGAATGCTGGTCCCGTCCAGAGACAGTACTTACATTCGCAATGCGCTTGCCACTCTTCTGCTCGTTCTTCATGCGCGCAAAGGTGTGGTAGTAGGAGGCCACGTAGGTCAAGATCGACTTCTCGTCGGGGCGGGCCGAGTCAACGTCCTCGGCGTCGAGCAGACTGGGTATGCCCAGCTCGTTGGCGGCCGTGTCGAAGGCATGGTTCAGGTTGTCCAGGTTCGAGTTCTTCGAGTTGACGATGGTGCTGTACTCGAAGAGGTCCGGCCGGTGGGAGTGGATCAGGGCATTGAAGCCCAAACCCGAGCGCCACGAGTTGGTAAAGTCCGTGATGTTGACGCCCGGATACCCATGGGTCTTCCGCTGGCACCACAGCAGGAGCGCATCTTTGGCGGAACGCTTTTCACTGGATTCGTTCTCCTCATCCTAGGAGAGGGATTAGGATTAGTCCTCGGTCTTTCCCTAAGGAAACCACCCACTTACCACATCGATTTCGATTTCCTGGATCTGAAAGCGCAGAATGATGGTCCAAATGAGACCCAAGATGAGTCGGGGGTTGCCGTCCACAATGTCCTCGGCACCAATGGACTCCAAGCGTACCTGTCAGCCCAAAAGCAGAAGAGAAAGAGGCCCAGTTGCATTAGTCTCCTGTTTTCTTTCCACTTCCAGTGGGGCAAGTGGATCTCGTGGAGGGGGTAAGCAGATATCGGGTTACCGGCAGCTCACTCCCGTGAGATCTACGAACTGGGTCTTCAGCCAGTCACGCAGTATCAGGTAGAGGTGCTTGACCTGCGAGGTCATTTGCATTATAGGTCAGGGCGCGGACAGGTAAGGGGCATATATTACGGCCAGATACCGATCTAAATCGGATTATCATAGAGGGGTTTTGATTTATGTGGCTTGAAAATATGGTAATAGGGAATAACTGGCCAATAAAATGGCCTATTTGTAGGCTAGAATTGGATCTGAACAGCTTAGGTTAATTGGGAATAGGGGGTGTTTACGGATTACAACTTTGGGAAGGTCAAAGGGGGCGTTCCTCTAATCATAGATGGCCTCTAAAGACCCTAATCATTGACTTTAGTGATTTTGATGTGAAAATATTCCAGTAGTCTCTCGTTCTGGGAAGCCATCATCTATTGAATGGAAGTCGTGCTCCCCGGCACGCCTCACTGGCTCTCCCCCAAGCCCTGTCTCTCGGCTGGGCTTCTTTCCAGCCCGAAAACCAATTAAAAGGCACTCCATACCCATGTCACACGCCGGGGAGAAAGAAAGAGACTAGCCCAAGCCCAAGCCCAAGCCCCAGCCCAAAGCCCAAATAAAACGCCAAATGAATTGGTTACAAAGTAAAGAGCCACTTTCACTGCTCGGTTGGGGAAACAAAAGCGAATTAGCCGGGCCACTGCGACAAAAATTGGTGCAGTTTAGTGGGGCTTTGGCTTCTAATGGGATTAGGAGGCGCAGAAGGAGAAGATACCCACATCGGCGAGGAAACTATGTCGCACGCTAGGCTTCCAGCCACTCGGAGCAATTACGGGGCGGCGGCGGCGAAGAAAGTGGCGAGTGCCACGCGAAGAAATGCATTAGAAAGTATGCAAATATTTAAAGACAGGCAGGCAGGCTTGCTGGCTGGGTAATTAAATATATAGGCAGTTGGTAGAGCCATGTCGCCTCCTGCCTCTCCAAAGCCTGGCTCATGAGCCACACAAAGCACGCAACGGCCACGCGCAGCTGCGCAGGCGCGACTTGCACTTTCTACAAATGCGTAGAGCTCTCTTCCCCACTCTCCACACTCCACACTCCACTCTCTCTCTCCACTTGCCACTCCTCTGGGAACTGCCTCTCACCTTGGTGTGCAAGAATGCCAGACTCTTGTTGACATTTTCGATTTTGTGGACGCGCATGCGTCCGCTGTTCGGCTTGCCCAGTTTCTCCGACGAGATGATCTCCAGCAGCTTGAGCAGCTTGATGCCGTCGGCCAGGTCTGTGAATAGGTCTTCGACCTCCATTTTGGCCTACAAAAATGTGTGAGATGCAGTATGAGATGCAGCATTACTTTGGAGGAGGAGATCTCACCTTGATCAGAAACGAATTCATCCATTTCGTGAAGGTCTTCTTCTGGATGTGCAGCCGCTCCTCCTGGAGCGTCTTGATGCGCTCGTTCTCGAACTTGATGATGCCGTCCCGCTGGGTCATGCTGGCGGAGTTGCGATTCGAGGGCGTCTGGGTCGTCTGCAGGTTGGAGTAGCCTCCCGGCTCATACTGTGATGCTATTCGGTGGAGCGGGAATGAAACAAAATAAATCTCGGATTAGAAGACATACAACTGCAGCAAGAATCGTTTAGTTTAGTACACATATGAGCTTGGCAACAGGCCAAAATCAATAGTGGGGGAATGGTGAGTCTACAGATAGAGAAAGCCAACCCGTGACGTCCGAGGGGTATTGATTGCGAGATAACAGGTTATCGCCAGCATAATTGCTTCTAAAAAAAAAACAGAAAACATCACAGCGATTGGTGGGTAAAGTTAGAGGCGCATTCCATGGCACTGGCTCGTAATACCTAATTTTAAACCATGGTATCAGCAGAGGCAGATTACCAGGTCGAATTCGGAATCGGAGAACCTTCAATTTAGACACTTCATCAAAAGGTATGTCGTTGGTGACTGGACAAGATAAGCCCAGGCGATGGATCTTAATGACAAAGGCTAGTTGGTCTTCCAGAGAGGTCTTCCAGAGGTCTGGGTTTATTAATTTCAGACCATTTAAAGCGCTATACCCCCTTGGCATAGTATCAACAACAATCCAGCCTTGGACGTGCTTATCAGCAGAGAGTCGAAATTACTTCATAGCGCCGGAAAAAGGTTCACATTTTTGTTGAATTTTTTCCCTTTTTTTTTATCAACAGCTCCGGTTGCGTAACTCTGACCGGAGAATGTGCCAAAAACTAACCAAAGATACTTGACTCACTCCCCAAATATGTATATGGCTTATCTGGCTGGCATTACCCCGAAAACGAAAGGGGAGTTCCACCCCAACTACCAGATAAGAGAGAGTCACTTTCACCCAAGGCCATAGAACCTACCCAGCGACTGGCGCTCGAAGGATATGTATCTCCGGTACTCGTTCCGGGTGAAGTTGGAGCGCAACAGGCTATTGTACTCCATGGTGTGGCCGAACTCCGAGTCCACTATACCATCTACTACTAGGTTTCTAGGATCGTTTTTCGAATAGTTTCGTTTGCTTCTTTCGGAGCTAGTTGCGTTCTCAGTCCGCGCCGATCGGTCACTGGAGGGGCGGCCAGGTGAAGTCCACCAATCCGTTAAAAGTGGGGGAAAGCTTCCACCCCGGTTCTGGCTTTATTTATCAGATGAGTTAAAAGCCAAATTCTTGAAGGTGGCTGTGGTGAGTTGCTTTTATCGTGACCACCGGAGTGGGGGATCTGTCAGATCTCCGAATCGACCCCGAGGCTAATCTAATCGGCCGATAAATCCCGCATTCCGGGGACATATGTTTTCAGGCCGATAAAGGGTGGAGTATTAATAGGTGGTTCCCCCCTGATGTCACTCTCCTAATAGGCCGTTTGTGGGGTGCTCTCTGAGGTCACCTGGAAGGCATTCTTGCCGCCAATCGGCAAACACAGCACTTGGCTTCGGCAAATAGCAAAAATCAATTAAAAAGAGGTGAAAACCAAACAATAAAAACACTGGAGCACCGTCGCGACAATAAACTTTACCATACACCTCCGCGATAACGACTGCCCTTATCAGCGAGCTGCGAAACGCCGGTCTCCAAAGACGGCATAACTTTAGGCTTGGCCGGGAAACTCGTCCCTTTCCGCGGAAGTGGGACCCAGCTGCCTCGGGCCATAAAACTATTTTCGGTGCGAGTGACAAGGGGAGGTTTCCGAGCATCCTGTTTACTGAAATAAACACTCAGCCCTCCCGAACCTCCGCCCCAGCCGGAGGATGTGGCAGAGCACATGCGCAGCAGCTGGCGGCAGGAGCTCTCGAGTGGCGTGTTTGTTTCTATTTTTAAACGGCCAGGCTTCTCTAATCTCCAGAGGGAGAGCTCTCCCTTAGAAGATCTAGATCTCAGATCTGCTAACGAACCAGAGCCAGAGTCGTGTCAACATTTGCATAAATCGATATCGTTTTGTATTTTTGATTTTTATGGGAATTATGCAAAGTATGGAAGATCGTTTGATATCTGAACCCTAATGCTACTTAAAAGTGTATTAAGAGGACCCTTTTGCGCAAAACTGCCATTAAGATAGCATCCCAAAGCTAGCCATTTAATTGCCTTTCCGTGAGTGATGGAATCTATCTGATAACTCCCCAATTCCAGTGTCTCTAGCTTCCAAAACAGCAAAAATAATGAGACCTCTGGCTGGCCAACTTTGTTGTCAAAAATCTGTGCATAAAATTACCTCATCAGCTCCAGCTCCGCGGCTGGAAATTAAAATTCCGATTCGGCTTTCAAATGAGCTTCACTCATGAGAGATGGCAGAATACAAATGGAAAGACCTAACTCGGGGCAGTGTTATAAATTCTTTTGTTTGTGCCTCGCATGCCAAGCAATTTTAAATAAAAATCTGAAAACAAACAATTTTGAAAAAAAAAAGAGAAAACTGAGAAACAAAAGCCACAAACTGGAAGAACTTTAAGAGCTATAACTAGTCTACTACTCATACTCCATACTCCTTTGAGAAGACCCTGCCAGAGTCTATCTCTTTAAAAATTATTGCCAAACATTTGGGCCGATTATTGTCTCATAACCGATTCGATTCGAAAAGGCAGAAGACGTATTACTTCACTCATATTTTAGCTTGTCTTCATGGCTTTTATGGCTCTGGGCCTGCCTGTTGAAATCGAAATTGTTTATTGTGCTTCACTGGTTGCTATTAAAAAGCTAGCACTTCAAAAAATAGTAGAGTTACTATTAATAAACTATATAATTAAATAAAAGGCCTAAATGGTAGCAAGGCCCAAGGCTCTCAACCATCTCCTTCCTGTAAGAATTAATTCTTCAAATATTTCTTTAAAAAAACCCCCTTTTTTCAGTGTAACTCCATACGTGTTGGTCTCTATGATGTGCCCCAAAAGCTATTTGCGAAAATTAGTCAATGCCTTCGAGTCCCCCACTCCACAGCCCCCTCTCATAGCTCCCCTCGGCCATTGGCTTTATTATTTTTTGGCATTCGGTTACGCCCCCCGAGGCACTACACCCGCAACTATGTTGTTTCCGATGACATCACCCCTTCCAGCACGCCGCAGAGCTGGGCTCAGAATTCGGGCTCTGCGCATGCGCGCCTCTGGCCAGCCCCAGCCAGCTACCGAATTGGATGTTTTTGGTCTTTTCTTCCCCAAATCCCCAAATCCCATTTATGTTTCTGGCGGCTTTGTTTATGCAAATGCCCGAATAGATTATTTGGGGCGCCGCTCCAGCGGTCAGGGCTTTGTGGTACTGAACCGCATTTTCAATCCAACGGTTCAGCTTTTCCCGAGGCTGGGAAAACACTGTCCCCCAAACGGCAATCAAGTCCAAATAGCCGGGCGATGACATCACTTTTTGGCGAGGGGGTCTTTCATCTCCCAACGGGTGGGATCTGCAGAGACTCCTCCACTGGATTTCTCCGAATCTCTGATAGAAATCAATTAAAAGTGAAATTTGCTGGCAGGGCGTTGCTTTTAATCGATTCGAGACCCACTCGGAAGATCCATTAATTTCCAAGCTAAGGAGGAAGGCACGCTTTTGAGACCTTGGGGGGGAACTAGGCCCATTAGATTCGAGATGGTTACTGTGACTAACTCTATGGATTACCTCTGAGAGGTCACTCCGCTAAAGAGGCTTTCACTTCCCAATTCTAGAAAAGAAAGCCAGCGCTGTTGTTCTATCAACTGTTTGCTTTTTTTCTGGTTTCTGATTAATTGGTGATCTCTGCCCACTTCCTACTCGAACCGCCGAAAAAATGACTTAATCGCGCCGAGTGATTTGCATATGGGGGAGCCTCGATCGCGGCCCCAACACGTGTGAGCCCCAAATGGGGGTCTTACGCAGAAAATGAATCATTTCGCCTAAAGTATCACCCAACAGTCGCGGCACAAACACCAACCACTCATGGCCGGGCCAAATATTTACACAATAATCCAGCACTCCGCGGCTTTGAAGATATATCCGCCGCGTTTCACAGGAAGTTCCCCCCCCAAAACCCAAAGTTATCAAGCTCGGTTCGGTTGGAGTGGTTCATTGGGGTAAGGTCGCTCCTATCAGCCAGAAAGCCCTTAGTTTTAATTGAAATGTTCCAGGCGGCAATCGAGCGATCGATGACAAGTCGCAGAACAATTCAATTTCATTTTTTTTTTTGGAAGAAACCATATTTCACAGAAACAACTAATCATAACTCGTATCTTAGACATCTATTTGGGAGAGACTCTAATTGAAATTGGAATCATGTGAGGGCCCCAGCAGCAGCCCCTTGAATTTTTAATTGGCTAAGCCTGGGACCCGAGAGTCGGGCCATAAAAATATAAATTTGTAACATTATGGAATGGAAAGCTATCCCCGCCAGATAGCCTTGTGGCCCATCGGGAGATATGGATTTTAAATGAACTTCAAACGATTTTAATGCTTTTTTTACGAGACACGAACTGTGATATGGCCTGGAGGGGGTTTGTTATTTCAAACTGCATTCCTTCTTGGGCTTCGAAGAGCACGTTGCGCAAACCCCATCGAAAACCAAGTCAAGTCTACAATTACACGACGAACTTTCCGCTTCAAGTTCGATGACGTCCCTCGAAATATTCTCAGCAAACATTTTATGCATTATTTATTGGTGTGGAGTGCTCTCGAGATAAAAATAGCCAATGAGTGACTGGGAGCCCGATCCCTTACCTGGCCAAGTAACCCACAAAGTAGCAACTACCCTGTGTCCCAGTAAGCCGATCTTCCCGATAAGACTCGTCCAAATTCCTAGCTATTTTCAGCTCCCATCCATCAGCTACAGAACCCGTTTCTGCTCGGAGGCTTCTTATGCAAATTCCCCGATGGGACTCTGATGAAGACTTTGGCTTTATAATCATTGGAATAAATATGGAATCTTCCCTCTAGAGGGGAAAGGGGAGTCCAAATAAAGATCACAAGACTTGACGCCACAGTGCTAACAGAACCACAAGCCCCAAAGAAGAACAAACTCTGGAAGAAACGCCGCTATTCAGCTCCACGTATGTGGCTAACAGCTCGTCGATTGTCTGATGTCAGCGTTTAAGTAAATATTTTGTCATTTAAGCGTGTAATTTTATTTTCAGACTCTCTCTCTCGGGTAGGGGGGGAGAACTCGAACTCGAACTCTGTACTTGTACTTGTACTTGTGGAGACAGAATCCAAAAAGTGTTATATAAGCGGGTCTCAAGGCTGGGCCGCCAAGCATGCAAATGTAAGACATTCTGTAAGCAGCCCAGTCACGACAAAAGCCGCTCCATCATCGACTCTCAGCCGAGTTCCCAGCTAATTAATAAAACCAGACATGGCCATATTCCTACTCGTCTAAATACAGTTGAATCTACTAGAGATTATTACTACTAGATATTCATATAGTGATCTATAGGTGGAGGCTAGACTGGGTGACTCACTCTCCGCGCTCTGACATCATGGGCCAT